GGGAGGGGTGGGAATGGGGTCAGACCTGAACTGGGGGAGGGGAGGCAGAGTCAGACCTGAACAAGGGGGACGGGGAGGAAGTGGGGGCGGGGTCTAAGCTTTGCTGTTTGCTATTTGCTCTAAGGTTACTCTGTGATACAGCTCTATCCTGTACCCACCCCCAAGCCTACCCCCTGTAATCAATAAAGTTCTTCATTGTACTAAGCATGGTGAACTAGCTAGGAGGGGGAGAGGGCATGCCCTTGTGCCCCCTTGGTTTGGTCCTTGCAGTGGGTCAAGCCCCCTCAAGGTCTATAAGGTCTGTGCATCCCAGGGGGCACAAGGCCATGGACAGACCAAGACTCCCAGGTAGTGACAGTGGTGACCCCAGGCTCCCTGGTGCACTCTGGGAAGGGGTCAGCCAGACATGAGGAGCCCCAGGGAATTACTCAGAACTTGGTAGGTGGCCAGGCATAGTGGAGTGGGTGGTTCAGTGCAGGACTGCCACCTGTTGGCCTGCCACAGTCCCCGCCAGTCCCTTTTCCCCCATAATTCTTGGCAGACAATTTGCTAGTATTATAATAAGAATGCCCAACTCTGACTGGGTCATTTTGTTACTTTTCTTGGTGGAAAGTAAATAGTTAGGCAAAGGGCAGGGGTACTAAGAGGTTCTGATATGAGTTTGGGGAGGTAGTTTATGAAGTTTGCCTAACGGGGAGTTTTCATGGGACCCAGGTAGATTGTTGTAACTTCCTGAAATCATGGAGGTCTTTAGAAGTCCTCAATGCCTCTGTCTGTTTTACATTTGAAAAGGTCCCCCAACATATTTCGTATGTGTCATCAATGACAATAACCCCCACATTCCTTTAAAAGTCAAGAAGATGAGAAGTCAGAGATATTTCATCATCAGATGAAGCAGCATCAGATGAATCCCAAGCAGTCTTCTTCACTAAGCTCCACATTCTGTTCCGCCTCTAAGCTACCTAAGGCCAGTCCTATGTCTTAGTGCACATGTCTACACATGCAAATGCTTCTGGATGCATTTACTCTGGGGTAATTTACTCCAGATTAAACCCACCCTGGGCAGTCATCTGCATGAGCAGGCATTTGGAAGCAGATTTTCTCCCCCCTGCCACTCTCCTCCTCCCCCCCACAAACAACCAAGGGGAGCTCTAGGCTCCCCCTGGATATTAACCCAGGGTCTGATAGGGAGCACAGGGCTAGAAGACAGTTGTCTCCTGGTGGGGTATGGGAGATTGATCCCTAACCATAGGAACTGGCTGCTTCTGGGGCAGGCTCTGTTGGTGGAGCCCAGGTGGAGACAATACCCCCCTGTCTATATGTGCCATACTGTGTAGTAACTAGTCAGCTGTTAATTTGCTACCTGCGTCTGCAGGTAGCAAATTAACTGCTCATAAGAGCAAATTACTGTGCGCTAAAGTTCTGCACATGTAGAGTGTGATGCTTACTGTGCAGTAATTTGTAGACACGCCCAGTGTCTCAGTAACTCTGCAGATTTAAGAGAGTAAGCAGCCTTAGATGTTGCTTGTAATTGGCAGAGAGAAGCTAATGAGGGACTTGTCAGACCAAAAAGAGGACTCAGGCTGGAGCTATATAAGCCCAGAACCTGCACTGGCCAGGGAGTCTCTTTTCCTGGCAACCTTAAAGTGAGGAGCTCCTGGCTGTAGGGCAGCAGGGTCCCTGTTGGGATCTTATTTTAGGTAAATGACTCTTCTGGTCTAGGAACAGAGTCATATTCCCTGGGCAGAGAAAGACTAAGTTTATGGACAAGTGGCCTTTGCTTTATGTTAAACTCTAGAGGGCTTGAAGTACCTATCAGGGGGCCCATGTGCCCAGGGAAGGGTGAGCCTGGAATAGAGGCTATGAGTACCCAGAAGAGGGGCTCCATATGAGGCTGGAGGGTCTGAGAGCCTGGAGGAGGGGCTGAGTGTGGAACCAGAAGGTCCAAGAGTCCAAGGGGGCCCCAGTGTGTAGGCTAGAGTATGGCTCTGGGTCAAAAGGTATATCTGCTGGGAGATGAGGAAAGTTTGCCCTCTTAAAGGAGCATAGGGCTGTTTCTCCTGTTGTTTATGTTTCTGTTATAGCCCAGGGGCTTATAGTTTAAGTTACTGCTTATATCGGTGGTTTGGGTTGGGAATGTAAGGGGGAGTTTATGGAGATCCCATTAGTGCCCAAGGGAGGCACAATTCCCTTGAGACCTGCCATGGGAAGGCACAACACTTGAGCTACTCTTG